AGCAATGCCAAGGGCTTTTCGGGAGCCCGAGCCTTTTTCTGGGCCCCGCCCCTGGAACCAACGAAGTCCCTCCCGCCATTCCCTTTGGGGGTCTCCCTATCCCCTCCTGGCTAGTGGAGGGACGCCACTTGATCTACACGACCCCTCCCCTATTCCAGGCTCGGGATACTTCGCCTTCCTTCCACGATCTCCGGGGTTCTCCCCAAGACCGGAGCCTTCTTCTCACAGTAAACAAGAAGCTCCTTTCCCCAACGTTAGACTGAGGACTCCCCACCTCCTGCTCCAAGACCCTGCCTCCCATTTGGGGACACCAGGAAGTTAGAGAGAAGCCGGGGGCGAGCTGAAAAAAGGAAACTACTAGAGGACGCGGGGGAAGGTGTGTCACCCGCGGAGGCTGAGGGAAGCCGTTGCGGTTGTCTTGAGTGCAGATCTGTCTTCCAGTGCGGCTCCATCTCTTTCTCTCTGTACGCTTCGGTGGGCTCGGGCCCTCTTGGTGTCCACGAATGCTGCCCTCCCCTCCCACCAGCTTGCACCTATCCTCTGTAAACCCTCAAAGGGAAGCCGACTTTGGATGCTCGGTTCCTCTCTGGACAAAAAAAAAAAAAAATCTCTTCTGTCTGTACCTGAAACTCTGCGTTGACTTTGAACAAATGAGGTCTTTTAATCCTTGAGAGGCAGATACAATAATTGCCTCCCCTCCACAACCCCAAGGACGAAACAGATTTACAGAAACAGATTTACAGGAATAGAGAGGTCCTGAGGGACCTAGAGGGGATCTGGCCTAGCAAGCACTTACCACTAACCAACACCTCCAGCTCTTGAGCTCCGGATTTATTTATTTTGTTGTTGTCTGTTTTGTTTTAGAATTTTTAAATCTATTTTATTTTTATGTGTATGAGTGTTTTGCCTCCGTGTATGTCTGTTCACCACGTGTATGCTTGGTGCCAGCAGAGCCAGAAGCTCAGATCCCCTAAGACTGGAGTTACAGATGGTTGTAAGCCACCATGTCGGTGATGAGAACTGAACTCCCAGCCTCTGGAAGAGCAGGCATTGCTCTCAATCACTGAGATATCTCTCTAGCCCCCTTGTTTTGCTTTTTGAGACAGGGCCTCACTGTGTACCCGCAGCTGGGTTGGAGCTCACCATGTACATCAGGCTGGCCTCCAGCTCACAGAGATCTACTTTTCTTTGCTCCCCAAGAGCTGGGATTAAAAGCACAGGCCACCAAGCCTAATGAATTCCTGACTTTAAATTGCCAAAAACTAGAAGGATAGTTATGGAAGGATAGAGTGTCTACTGCTTAGTATCTCGTGATCTGGAACAACATCCCAGTGGCCAATTAACCCCTGAGTTTGTATGTTTGTTTTGAGACAGAGTTCTATGCAGCTCAGGCTAACCTTGAACTTGAAGCCAAGAATGACTTTCCGATTCTCCTGTCTCCACTTTCCAGGTTCTGGGTTAATGGGTCTATGCCACCACACCTAGTTTATTCAGGGTTTGGGATCAAATGCAGTGTTTCATAGGTGCTAGGTATTTGACCCTGCCAACTGAGTTACACCTCAGTCCCAACCCCTGAGTTTGAAGTGTGTTTTATGAGGAAATCAAGGACCTATGCACAAAAGAGATGGCCCATGGCTTCTACCACAAAGATTGAATGGGAGGGGCAGGAGAGATGGCTCAGAGGTTAAGAGCACTGGCTGCTCTTCCAGAGGTCCTGAGTTCAATTCCCAACAACCACATGGTGACTCACAACCATCCGTTATGTGACCTGGTGCCCTCTTCTGGCCTGGGCAGAACACTGATCACTGATATATATAGAATTAGATATAGATATAGATATAGATATAGATATATAGATATAGATATATATCGCAGCCAAAGAAACATACTCATTGGTTATACAGGAACCTCCTAGAAGCCCCCTCCCCGAGAAAGCCACACATCCCTCAGTGGAGGAAGTTTTAAATCCTAAAGGCCTATAGTATGGAGGCAGTCCTGCTCATTTGTTCCAACAGTGTCTGCCAGAGAAGTCCCTCATGACTGTGTACTGAACTATTCTTAGAGTCCTCAGTTTACATGTGAGGAAATGGAGACCCAGAGAGAGGGAAGCTTGCTCCAGATTTCACAAGTGTGAGCCAACAACTGGAACCCCCGTTGTTACTGCCCCACACCAGGCTGCAGTAGAGGACTTAGAGGTTGCCAAGACTCAAGGGAGCCGCTTTCTTCTGGTTTATAGCTCTGGGTACACCTGATGCTAGCACAGCCCAGGTATGGAGGTGGAAGGGCTCAGACATCGCCAACTTTATTCCACCACAAGAGGTATCAGCAAGTGGATCTCTGTAAGTTTGGGGCCATCCTGATCTACATGGTGAGTTCCAGGTCAGCCAGGATTACAAGTGAGATGTTGTCTCAAGACAAAACAGGGGTCTAGAAAGATGTCTTAGTGATTCAGTTCCCAGCACCCACATCAGGCAGCTCCCATCTGCCTGTATCTCCAGCTCCAGGAGATCCAACACCCTCTTCTGGCCTCTGTGCATTTACATGCACACACATATACACTCAGCCACATAAATTAAAATAAAATAAATCTTCTTTTAAAAGTAAAGAAAATCCAGCCTCCAAAGCCACAGAGAAACCCTGTTTTGAAAAAAAAAAACAAAACAAAACAACAACAACAACAAAAAGAAAATCACAACAAATAAAAAGCAACAGCACCAAACTCCTGGCTAGGCATTTTGGGAGAGACAAGAGAGAACTGAGATACCAGGCTCTGCTTAAGCCTATGCTGGAGGCCAGAGGATGGGCTTGGAAAAGACAGGCCCCTCAAACATATTTGGGGTTACAGAGCAAAGAAGAGTTAGCATCACTTCTCATATCCTCACTGCATCAGGACTCCATCAGGGCAGGATGGCAGCAGTGTATGTACTTTGTGCTGTGACCACCACATCTAATCCATGGCCTCTTCAAGGTATTGGTGACATGGGAGAGCCTCGGAATTTAAGAGGCTTGTAGGTCCATAAGGGACTTATGACTGGATTTGACAATCAGAACAGCAAAATGCAAGTATCTTTGTAGCATCTAACCTGGAAGGCAGTGAGGCTCCTGGATGTCTCTGGCTCACGCCAGTGTCATGACTCTAGGTTGGCGAGGTCACCACAAGTATAATAGAAGTGAGGAGGATGGATGACTCAAGACTGAGCTGAGGAGCTGGAGAGATGATTCACAGTTAATAACACCTGTTACTCTTGCAGAGGACCCAGGTTCAATTCTCAGCCCCCATATGTTGGCTCACAACCACCTGTAACTCCAGTTCCAGTGGATCCAGTGCCCTCTTCCAGTCCTCACAGGCACCAGATGTGTTTGTGGTGCACAGACGTTTCTGCAGGCAAAACACTCATTCTCATGCAAAGAAATAAACCAAAAGAAGGAAGGAAGGAAGAGAGGAAGGAAGGAAGGGAGGGAGGGAGGGAGGAAGGAAGGAAGGAAGCCCAGTTGAAATCTGAAATGACTGAGAAAAGTCCAATGTGCTGAGCTATGTTGTGTCCCAAGAGGTGTCAAGGGGATGGAAAGAAAGGATATTTCATTGCAGAACAGGCCTGTGCAAACTACAGCGCACAAAGCAAATTCAGCCTGCCACCTGTTTTGTAGATAATACTTTTTAAAAACAATTTATTTTAATTATGTGTATGTATGTGTGGATATGTGCACATGAGCGCAGGTGCCTCAGAGGCCAGGGGAGTTGAATTACAGGTGGTTATGATCTGCCTGATGTAGGTACTGGAAACCAAACTCTTGTCTTCTGGGAGAAAGGTAAATGCTCTTAACT